ATTGCGGCTGCTTTCTCCAGAATCGCAAAAATCGAGGGTGACCTTATAATTATGAAACGCACTGTATTATCCGTCATCTGTACCATCACCGCTGCTCACATCCTATAGTAAATGTTAATGAAGGAACAAATGAGCAAAGCTGTCATCAGCAGCCGCATTTACGGCTTATAAAGGATTTTCCGAAGAGATAAGTAGATGTACTTTTTCAATACACTGTCGAAGAGCCCTATTTCAGTGAGTCATTCATTTGTTTGCCACTCATTTAATCATATTTATTCATAATCTGATTCGAATAATTGCAACAAAGAGGTGCTAGGAAACTTCCTGCAAGCTGCTCTTTCATCATCAATCTTTGTTGACCTTTTCCAAGTATTTCATTGTCATGAAGTGATCCCGAAACCGATCCTCGTGGGGGATATAAGAGACTGGTGGAAGCATTGAATTATCGCATCAACTCGATATGCTTCGTCTAGTTGTCCTTTTTAGCCTAGTAGCTGCTCCGCTGGTAAGCTTTTCACTTGTAAAAGTATGGCTGCTTTAAAGTTCAGCTGAAATTAGGCAGATTCCCTAGTAGTGCAATTTCTTCTATGTAAAGTCACGATTTTGGCTTAGGCGTGTAGACCATCAAATTCGACGAGGACGTCATTCCCTAGCCGTGCAATTTCTTCTATGTAAAGTCACGATTTTGGCTTAGGCGTGTAGACCATCAAATTCGACGAGGACGTCATCGTCAGGCTCTGGCGGCTATAGCAATTCTTCTGTCAGAGTTGGAGCTTCTCGTGGAAAGCGCGAAATCGACCAAGCAAATGTTGTTGTCGAGACCAAATTAAAATTCAATCCGGAATTGAATTCATTCTTCATAGATGCGTTCAGAGAAGCGGTAAGATGTGTTGTGGCGACAGAAAGCAGGACAGTTGTTCAGCATATCACCCAGGACTGGACAGTGCTACATTCAGGTTGAACAGCATGCGAGTGCAACCGGAGTTAAGTACAGCGATGCCGTTGTTCAGGAAAGAATTCATCAAATTGGTGATAAACTCGCTATGGAATACTTTGTCCACGGTGTTGACTGTGAACAGGTACATCTTTTCACATCTACGGATCCGAACACTGATCTTTTGTAGAGCTCTGCAGACAAGTCTGCGTGCTCTGCAAAAGTCTCATGCAGCACCCATGAAAATGAATAGTTTGTTCTAACAATAAGAATTGATCGTAGCTCCACAACTTGGATCGGAGCAGCTAACCTACATATTATCAAACTGCGAATCTGTTAGATAGCCGGGTGGTTCGCTGCTATTTGAACCGATTCAAGCAGATATACAAACGTGCGTTTCAATTATCTGATTGATTCTGCCAGCGCTATATGTCAATTTAAAGATTAAGTCATGCATGTCGAGTTCATTTTTGAAGAGAAACTGCGAACGGCTCATTAGATCAGATGTCATTTCTTCAAAAAGTCCTTTTTGATAACTGCGGAAATTCTGTAGCTAATACATGCAAATGCCCTCGTTATTGATTGTAGGCTAAAAAAGCAGTGGGCAGGGCTGGCACTCCTACGCTTTCTTAGATTTTACTATTTTCTCCTATCTGACCAATACCTCAAGCAGCAAGGTGAATTATTACTTTTTCACGATTTCTAGCTGGCGTTTTTATTGTGCATTGCTAGTTAACTATCTTCTGTCTCATATACATTTATACCAACACGGTGTGGAGCCTTTGAATACTCTTGGTTACGAATTTTTTTTTGCAGCTTGGCAAGTTCATTTCGGCAGGAAAATTGATAACGGAGCATCTTATTGGAAACGTTACCGCAATGTGCAACGGTACACCGATGGTTTTATAAAAATTCAATATGAATTGTACCGCTAAAATAAATTTGGACTTATTTATAACGTGCAGGGCTGAGTTTGGTCAAGAATGTTGAGAGGAGAGCTGTTAGAATGCTGCGCACTGAACCATAGCATCAGGGGCGCCACGAATTCGCCTTCACCAAGAAAAGCGTAGGCGGCGCATACGAAATTGGTCAAGGAAAGGACTTGGTTTAGCTGGGTGACGTATAACTTAAAACGTAGTACCCCGTGGACACGTTTCTCACTGTCATGCAGCAGTGACTGGCAACCAGCAGCTCATAATTCTCACCGCACTGGAAAATCCTTCAACAAGTTAACTAAGTACAAAGCGTAAACAGCACCAGCCTAATTCTTTCCAGTCATCTTTAATTCCTCCCTTGAACGGGTCCTTTGAAGGCACCGTTTACGATAAATTTAGGGTACCCTTTTTTGACGGAAATTCATAGAACTACTCTAGAATAAAGCGATAACAACGAAAAAAGCGCAAAAAATGATGAACAAAAAGAAATAGAAAGGGTCAAAAAGAGCTGGAAAGGGGGGTTGGATGAGTTTCACACTGGAAGAACGGCGGTTATGGGAGTGTTCGGGCGAGTGCAGGAAGGCGACGCAATGTCTGCAATAGCAGACAACACACCCAAGCAGACAACCTCGCCCAATGCGAAAGTGATGAACGGCAATTAGATTTCGTAGTCAGCCTAGCGAGGGGCGGAGGCCTCCCGTCCCCCTGTTCCTGCCCTTATTCTGCCCTATCCAGACCGTTTTCCGACCTCATTCCTGCACAAATGGTATCAGAGGGGGCGTCGAATTCAAACCATGTGCAGATCTCCGAAACCATTTTTTCGTGAACAGTGCCTTTAAGGCAGATTTTGCTGTTGAATTCGGTTTCTCCAGGAACCAGTGCTTGTTCGTCTTTGCGCCCTTTTACATGAGGGGATGCCGTGGTACCTGTGGCTTTGGGGTGCCAGCGCTAAAGGCAGAACTGGCAGAATTGCCAGACATCAACGACAACGCCGACAAGTTCCCCAACTCAGATGCCTAAGTGGAGACCACGATTGTTCGAAGGTATTTCATCAATCCCTGAAATCGTATGATTTGAGCACCAACGTCAAAGGTAGTCGTACTCTCACAACCAAACATAACACTGAAACGGCTTTGATATAGCGAGAACCAGACGAATCATAGAAAATCGATGCTTTCGCATTCGTTGTTCTTCAGTTTCTTTCATGCCGTATAAGGATCGTTTGTGGGATAATTCCATAGCGATGCTACCTGCTCCATACTGCCATAGCATATGCACGAAATAAACAAACAGAAAGAAAGAAGGAACAGATGGAAAAGGAACCGTCACAAAAGTATTTTCTCATAGCGGTTACTGCTATCGCTCGAACAAGTATGAAAGGGAAGGCGTTTCAATATGACCCTTTTTCCGGTGCAGAAGGGTTTACCTGGGGCTATTCTGAATTAAGCATAATTTTCAAGTGCTGCGCTGTAAATAAAGTGTCCTACTGAGTTCATCGAAACTCCGATGTATGAAGTGTGCGGTGAGCAAAGAAGGACATTCGAAAAACTGAAAAAAAACATCCGAAAAACAATTGCTCCCTTTCATCTTACCAATCAACCCATTTTCCTGAACCTCCATATCATATGCATTATGCTTGAATCATACACCAAAGACTCAATGAACAAACAAACAAACAATCCTGGGTGACAACATGCCTGAACGCCATCCTTTACGCCCCTTATATTCAGTACCATTTGGTGAGGATGCGTTTTCTCTCTTCCAAGTGTAACTTCTGCAAAACCCAAGATTTCAGCGAGAAGCTTGAACAGTACGTAATATGAGCACTCATAGTTAGTAACATTATGCTGTTTTGATGATTTAACAGCACACTCCCAAACAAAACTGGCGCTTTATTTTCAAATCGTCCACCAAGCACACACTTTCGGTAACTGATGGGTTTTAGGTTAGGAATTTTGCTTGACTCTCACTGTCTTCAATCACGTTATGCACCTGTACATTGTAAAGGCTATGCCAGTCGAACCCCGCCACCCCTCATAAAGGCATTCTGGAATCCGTAACTTGCGGTAAGATCATGTTGACGCCGTCATTTGGGGCTTCCTGGAGGCTTGACACCTAGGCAACTTTTCGGAAACTTTTTCAAGGGTTATAAGTTAGATGTGCAAAAACGATCTGAAAGTAATACAAAGACACGGAGTTGGCTGAAGTCGAAGACACCGGGAGCAGCAAGATTGGCGTCTCATTTTTTTGGGAGAAGCGTGCTGCATGCAGAAACGACCCGTGTCTCACTGTTGCCGACAATCTTCGCTTAATGTCTACACCAAACCCGTCCGTGACCATTGTCCGAACGTCATCTGGGAGTGACCGGTCGTTTGGACGTCGCGCGGTAAAGAAAATGCTGACTCATGTCAGAACTCGCAAATCTCCTCTCGTTTGGGCTCATGCTCACAAGAACTGGACCGTTCAGCAGTGGTGTGAAGTAAAGACTCTGGAAAAACGAGTCGGCGTTTCTGCTGTATCAGGCGGACGGAATCAAGTCTGTGCGACGTTCGGTCGGTACCTGATACCATGCAAATTATCAGCTATCGACCATGAAAGGGGCGGGAGTTTGGCAACGGTTCACGGCAGATTCTTTTGCAAAGGAATTGGTTCCTTCCCCCGGATAGAGGGTATAATGGATTCAAAGATGTATATTAACCTTATGGAGACTGTTATCTGGTCACTCGTTTATGGTACTGCTCGCACTGACTTCATTTTCCAACAGGACAACGAATCAAAACATCGAAGCTGCTCATCAAGTGGTTCCGCGTCAACAACATCCCTCTGTCGCCGTGACCGTCGCAGTCCCCTTATCTAAACCCCATCGAGCATCTGTTGGGTAATGTTGAGCGTCAAGTTGAAGGCCACAGAGCTATAAATGATCATAGAAAATTTCTTTGACTGAAGACTGCTGTCAATGTCCTCCCGTGAGGTGGGAGAACTTCTCACGGGAAGAGAAACGAGCTTATCGAGCTCCATGCGACGACGATGTCGAGCGGTTATTGACGTCAAAGGTTACGCGACAAAGTATTGATGTCGTAGTAGTTTAATTGCTGTTATAGAAGTTGTTGCGATGAGAAATTGAAAATTCAGACAGAAGATCGAGCAGGTTTGATGGTACTTTACCAAAAGAAGTTAAGCTTCTTGGAATAGTTTACGATTCACTTAAACAATTGGGAACTTTCTCCCCTATCACATTGTTTATAGGCATTCACAGTAAGAAAAAAAATCAGAAGGAAAATTGGTTTACCGAGAAGTTACTTTCGAAAAAGTGAAAAACGCGTACTTCATTATAGGGAGGATATGGTGGATACATGAGATTTTCCGTTTTTATTTCGTTCAAGGTCCATTTCCCGAAAAAGATGTTTG